TCCAATAAAACTTTACTTCTGACTAACCCAGAGAGAGATTTGTGGTGCTTGTTTCACACAAACCTATCCCTGAATTTGAGAGAGAGAAACATCCAGTACCTTCACAAAGTGGCTTTTTCGGGCCCCAACAATACGAACCACAAGTACTTCAGGCAAAGCAAAGGGCATTTATTAAGGGGGCAGTCAAGTCTTTATATAGGGTACAGAAACAAATGATACATACTCTTTATATATGTGATGGGTCAGAAAGCAACACATCAAACAATAAGACACTGATGTGCGATAAAGGGTTTGTTTTGTTACACATGAGAAAAGACAGACACCCTTAAAATATGTTGCCTCTCCTCATTTCCCACCCTGGTTTGTTTCTTTGACACTTGCAACTTTAATCAAGGACTTCAGAACACAGCCCTGTGGTTTGGTTGGTGGTCCCTGAAAGGGCTAGTTTTTGTACATCAAAGGAAGTGGCTTTGGCTCAAAGGAAAAACATGGTTTCCTGATCTTCAAAAGGAGGCATAGACTGCTGTGCTAAAATGCTTATGTCTATTAAAATGCTAATAATAAAGCCTAAAATTCTATGTAACAGCAGGAAACATACCGACTGTAGGCCACAGTTGTTTCCTTACACAAGATGAATGCTTCCCCCTAATTTTCAGTGGGCATCTCCCAGTTGCGTGGCTAAGATGAAGGTCTTATGGGTTTCTACCTCTGTGCTCCACCAATGCAAGGCATGCTTGATCATCCAAACCAGCGTTTCATAAACGTTTTTGCTCTCCCTTCCCACTTTTAAAAATTATGGAGGACCCCAAAAGAACCTTTGTTTGCATGGGTTATATATATCAATATTTACTGTATTAAAAATTAAAATGGATGCATTCATAGAATATCTATATGTAAAGATAACAATATTAAACCCATTATATATTAACATATTTATCATGAAAAATCTCTATACAGTATTTGTAGTGAGAAGTGTGAGATTGTTTCAAACTTTTGCAGATATCAATATCTGGTAAATAATTTTGATTTCACAGACCCCTGAGAAACCCCACGTTGGCTAGGGAATTCTGGGAGTTGAAGGTTGAGAAATGCTTGATTCAGACTCCCAACCCGTTTGATCACAGAGGCAATGTCAGGGACTTGGGGGAAGCGAGGATGCTTTGCAAGGATTACCAACGTGGGGAGACATTTAGTGAATGGTGTTGCTGTAAACTAAACGTAGTCAAATTGTCTCTTATCTCCTGCTTTTAACTGCTTTAGCTTCCCGCTCCTTGCTCCTTTTTTGCGCTTTGCAGAACGCTCCCAGCTCAACTACGGATGTGCAGGTAGTTAAACCATAGAGGCGTCAGATCATAGAGGGGTCAGCCAGGACCGGAAGTTCCGTCTGCATCGCCATGAGCCGCTTCGGCGGGAGGCATAGAGATGATCGTTACGACGTGTCGTAAAGCAGTTAACGCGCCTTCCTTTGCCAAAGCGGAGTCCTGCATTGGGGTCGCTTCCAACGGTCTTTCTAGCGTCGCCTGGAGAGGTTGTCTCATATACATCTTATATATACCTCATCTATATCTCATCTCTCTCCCTCTCCCTATATAAATATATACATGAAAATAGTGCCTTAGTTCCTGTAATGCTGCGGGTGATGAAGTGAGCTGTAATCCAATTTCAATTCATTAGGTGAACGAAAAGAGATATCTCTTATTAACAAAAACGTCCACTTGGCTTGTTTAGGGATTCTTGATTGTGATTGTGCCTAGAAAAAAATATGTTACAGTAGTATAACTGCTGCTTAAGAATAATCATGCTGCGTCAAGTCATGTCTGTTTTAGGTAACTCGGCTATATTTGGATTTTTACAGGTTTTCCTTTCAGAATTTCCGGATTCCTTCTTTGTGCTCTCCAAGGAGGGGCTTGAGGGGGCACTGATGCCATGCCCTTCTCAACCCAGCCTGAAACAGGCGAAGAGCAGAATGTTTTGGTAGCAACTCTGGATAATGTCAGAAACCTCTCCAATATTTTGAAAGCCATTCATTTCAAAGACCACGCTATCTGCTTCGTTACGTCAAATGGACTCAAAGTCACAGTGGAAAATGCAAAGTCTTTGCAAGCCAATGCTTTCATTCAGGTTAGACCACAGGGTTTCTTTTCTGCGGGCTTACTGAGAAATTTCAGTTCAACTAAAAAAATTAAGTGAACATGTGTTGCAACCAATAAGGTTTCCAAAAGAAATGGCATACTCTGATAAACAAAAACAATCCTGCTGTAGTTTCTCAGCACATCTTATTTCCAGCACAGGGAACTCTTTATCCAACACTGAGGTGATTGAGCCGCCCAGCCTGGTGTGATGTTATTCCACCAGTGGGGTATTTCTTGACACACATTTAATAACAAATATTGTACATTTAAAATAGTTTTTGTATATATTTTTGCAACAGGAGGTATTTTGAAAATAAAGAAATGGTTGTTCCAGCCCTGCAGTGTGTGACTTTGTAGCAGGGTTTGCACTAGACTAAGCTAAAATGGGGTTGAGTAGCATCTTGTGGGAATCTTTGGTGTAATGGTTAAGGTGCTGGTGTAGAAACCAGGAGACTCTGAATTCTAGGCCTGCCTTAGGCATGAAAACCAGCTGGGTGACTTTGAGCCAGTCACTGTCTCTCACTCTAACCCACCTTGCAGGGTTGTTGTTTGGGAGAAAGTAGGAGGTTGTGGAGTATTAGGTATGTTCACTGCCTCGTGTTGATCTGTCTGTCTGTCTGTCTGAGGATAAAAGTACTATTATTATTTATGCAAACAATCCATCACAATGAATCATACTATGGTTTACATTTTTGAACGTAGCATGTTATATGAACACGGGAAAGCTGTTCGGCGATTCATTGAACTTCAAAGCAAGGTGTCTGAAGGTCCACCTCAGTGTCTGCTTTCATGGGCCACTATAGTCCTGCAGCCCCACATATGCCAAGAGTCAGCTGGCGAAAGGCCATGTACTTTCTCAATCACTACTTTGCCATTTAACATTTTAAGTAGCTATTTGAATCTTGTCTGGCATTAATATGCTTTAGTTGCTTTGCTCCCATTTATTGTATAAGTACTACTGTCTTTGTGATTATTGTTAATCACAGCATGGGGCAAAATGTAATACAACATGAAGAAGTTAAAGTTAATTTGTTCAAAAAAGCTTTTCTTAATCATCATAGCCTTGCCCTTTCTTGCATCTATTATTGCAAACTATTTATCAGTTTCTTGTGCTGTTTTGTAAAAGTCTCTTTTTTGCTTGGTTATTCTCTTGTTAAACACCATTGGATTGCAGTTTAAAAGAAAGAGTGCTATTTTTATACTATTTGGCCTTCAGGTTTCCTGATTTGTTAATTTACAGGCGGGAATTTTCCAAGAATTTGCAGTGCAGGAAGAATCTGTGACGTTCAGAATCAATCTGTCTGTCCTTTTAGACTGTTTGACCATCTTTGGAACAAGTTCTTTGCCAGGTATTGCTTGAGTTTATGTTTTAGTGAATGATGCCAACTTGTCTCTTATTGTCTTATGATAATTATCCTTTGCTGTAAGATGAATTATGGATTGAATTAGAAATGCCTCTTATTTGTCCATTTTAATGTCAATATGCCTAATATCTATTTCCAAAGTTCTACTGATGAATTGATCAGGAGGGAGTGTGGCAGTTTTGCAGTGCAGTTCATGCACGTTTATGGAGAATAAAATCCCATTATGTTAGTGGAGTTTACAGCCAGGGGAATATGACCATGACAGCCAGTTTGGTGTAGAGGTTAAGGCATCAAGGCATCAGGCTAGAAACTGGGAGACTGTGAGTTCTAGTCTTGCCTTAGACATGAAACCAACTGGGTGACTTTAGGCCAGTCACTCTCTCTCAGCCCTAGGAAGCAGACAATGGCAAGCCACTTCTGAAAAACTTGCCAAGAAAACTGCAGGGACTTGTCTAGGCAGTTGCCAGGAGTCAACAATGACTTGAAGGCACAACACACATACAAACACACACACATATACACACACTGTACAGTGCTTCAGAATCAAAAGGCACAACACACACACACGCACACACATACATTGTACAGTGCTTCAGAGTCAAAAGCAAAAAGGTGCTTCAGAGGGTGTAGGTCCAGTTGTACAGCACCTGTCTTTTTTTTTTTTCTTTCCCGCACTCAATCATGACCGATTTTGTGGCAACTGCCTGGATGAGTCCCTGCAGTTTCCAAGGCAAGGTATTTCGGAAATGGTTTGCCATTGCCTCCTTCCTAGAGCAGAGCCCAGCTGGCGAGTGCAGGAGGCGGGGTTTTCCGTTGCTTTGCGCCTTTTTTGGGCGTACGCGGCTTCCGCATTACCGGCAACTGGTCCCGTCTCCTGTGCAAGGTGCCGCCAGCGTTTTTCCTCCCACCGGGGTGAGAGCACCCATTTATCTACTCGCAGATGCTTTTGAGCTGCTGGGTTGACAGAAGCTGGGGAGGAGACAGGAGCTCACTTTGCCACACGGAGCTGGGCTTGAACCACCTGTCTGTAAGCCCTTAAATCAACTGCATTTTTTTCCAGGATCGTGCTGCAATTGCAAAGAGCAGCCACACAGTCCTGGCAAAGATGCAGCTGCTTTCAAAAGTTCTGTTAGAAGCTACACGAGTGTCCCTTCCCACTCCAAAGCTCTTTTTTGGCCTTTAAATCCAAAGTGCTTCCCAGCCCTACTGAATAGGCATAGTTAGAACTGCAATATTACAGAAGATTCTTTTTCATTTCAGGAACTCAAGCAGCCCTTCGGATGTGTTATCAGGGATATGGCTACCCTCTAACACTCTTTCTGGAGGAAGGAGGTGTGGTGACTGTATGTAACATCAACACTCAGGAACCTGAAGAGATTCTCGATTTTGACTTCTGCAGTACTAATGTTGTAAATAAAATTATCCTGCAATCAGAGGGACTGAGAGAGGCATTTTCTGAACTAGATATGACCAGTGAGGTGCTGCAGATTACAATGTCTCCAGACAAGCCTTATTTCAGGTAGTAGAAATAGTTGTCCTAGTCTGATAATCATGTCTTGAAATCAGATAACTGTGATACACAGTGCAAACATATGACATAAAATAACTATGTGTGGAAGGTAAAGCTAAATATACTTCTGTGTATTTAAAATTCAATCACGGCCATGTTCCAGCAAAGCAATCCTTCACATATCTAAAATTAAGTCCTATTAAATTCCAGGGGTTTTTTCCAAGTATGCATATGGATAATTGTAGCTGAAAAGAACCTCTAAGTAGCCAGTAGCAGAGGGGAGAGCTATTGCTTGAGATTTGGAGAACTGCCGAGTCAGAGTGGATCAGCAGTGAGCAAGCTTCTTGCAGCTGGTCTTGCAGATGTTTATGCTTCTGAGGGCTTCAGAGGACACAGTAGTGACGAGGGTCGGTGATATGTCCAGAGGTACCTGGGAGGAACCTGTTTTTTCATTTTGGAATGTGATTGAGAGAAACGATTTAACATGCTTCTTTAATGATAAAGAGAAAGCACTGTGAACATTTTTTTTTTAATGGCAGAAAAACTAGTGGAAAACAAATCATTAGAATGGATGAAATTGCATTTGGGGATGGTTCAGGAGCACGATTGAGTTCCTTAAGCTCTTGCAAACTCTTGTTGGTACTTAAAAAAAAGGAAAAATTGGCTTTCTCTTTTTGACTGTTTGCTAGTTTTTTAATGGGTATAAAACATATCACACACTCTGCAAGACTTTAAGTCCATTCTGCTCCTTAAATCCACTAATCCCAAAATGAAAATAAAGTCGAGCTCTAGTCATTGTCTTCCTTTCTCTTAATATACAGTTGCAACAGTTACATAGAAACATTTAGTATTCTTCAAACTTTGATGCTAATATAATATTTCAATAATTTAGAGTATTAATGACAAATTCTGAAGTAGGGAGAATCTGCTCAATTTTGTCATATACTGTATTTGCATATGCAATGGTGCCATTTTTATTATTCAGCCTGGTGTGTCTTTCCTCCTTAAGATTATCCACTTTTGGGAATGCTGGAAGCACTCACCTGGATTACCCCAAAGATTCTGACCTTATTGAAGCTTTTCATTGTAATAAAACTCAGACAAACAGGTAAGCTACACCAGTACATTTACCTCCAAAGTATTATAGTGACCATTTGTATCATACAGCTGTTGATATTTATTTACACCAAGCTGCAGGTCCCCTGCCAGAAAGGTGATCCATGTCACTTAAGTCGAATTTTTGTAGCAGATTGACAACATTTTCTGGTATTGCGTGCCATTCATATCATCTTGCACAATCAAAAAATTGATTGTTTTGAAAAAAGGCCCAAAATCTGAAATGACATTGAGAATCCTAAAATCTAGCAAGAATGGCCAGTGCTGTGAGATTTTGGATTTTTTTTTTTTAACATTGAAAAAATAGAAGAGAATATCTGTAACTCACGTTTGAACTGTGGAGTCCTTGGTGCTCTCTGAGCTTGGTTGTTTGCTTGCAGACGTTTAATTACCCAACTAGGTAACATCATCAGTGTGAGTGAGTGTGGGGTGTGGGATTTGCTCCCTGTTTATATATAGTAGCTTGCCCTGCCAGTGTTGGCTGGGGTGTGGTACAGAAAAGCTACTGTATATAAAGAGAAAGCAAACCCCACACCCCACACTCACTCACACTGATGATGTTATCTAGTTGGATAATGAAACGTCTGCAAGCAAACAACCAAGCTCAGAGAGCACCAAGAAGTACACATTGAAAAAATACTTGTATTTAATTGGAGGCTTCAACAAATAGCATTTAGAAGCATCCTGGGAGAGCAGACATTTCTGGCTGTTGCATCGTCATCCCTTACAGGGAAGCCATAAATCAAGATAGGCGTGTTCTTCCATATTGAAGTCATGTGAGTGTGCTGATTGTACTGGGCTCATTTTAAATGCTGGGCAAGTGCGGCTTGGACTAAAGACAAAGCATGAGGAGAAAGGATGACATTCCACTTTCCCCCCCAATAATACTGTTCCTGTAGGTTTCTTTTTTGAACCCTCTCTCCCCAAGCAAACACAAGAAGAAAATTGGCAGTCACACATATCTTTGTTATACTTGACATTACTGCCTTTCCTTTTTGCAGGTACAAGATATCATTACTCAAGCCATCAATTAAAGCATTAGCTCTGTCTTGCAAAGTATCCGTTCGGACAGATAACCGAGGCTTTCTTTCATTGCAATATATGATAAGGAATGAAGATGGAGAGATCTGCTTTGTGGAGTATTACTGTTGCCCTGATGAGGACATTACTGAAGCAGAACTCTAGCTATAATGAAGATGTTTTTGAATGAACACCCAAGAAAACAGTTCAGTTCCAGACGATTGGGAAAGAAACAGAACAAGAGGAACCCTGAGCCATTTAGGCTAGGGTGAGGAAAAATGCAGATGGAGACCAAACGCTTTTGAGTAGCTGCTGTTTGTGAATGCCCCTGGAGGAATGTGTTCAATGCAAGTGGCTCATAGTCTAGAACGAGAATGCACAATTTTTTTCCAGGCAGAGGTTTTGCTTCACCTCCAAAAGGAGGGCAGGGCAAAGGCAAAAGTATTTTTATTTCAGTTATCTGAAAAAAAATTAACAATCACAATTACAAGGGGCAACTTAAAGGAGCTATCTATAGCACTGAGGCTTACAAACCCAATATAGAAGCTAGAAATGGGTCTCTGAAATAGTGCCGAGAGAGAGATAAGTTGTATGCCAAACAGTGAGCCACTAAGTGAATTGAAGTGAAAGTGAATCCTTCCTTCCTTCCTTCCTTCCTTCCTTCCTTCCTTCCTTCCTTCCTTCCTTCCTTCCTTCCGCTGCCTGGTGGCAGATTTGGCCAACAGCAAAACTGTGTTCTGTTCATACTTTTTGTTTGAATCTAGAAAGTGTCACAAGTTCTAAATGGCTATATTTCCCTTTTTATATATTGGGAAATACGTTTTCAGAAATACCTTTAAATATAATCATTTAATATTTATTTTTTCTTGTCATGATAGCAGACTTAGAGCAGCCTAAATCCTGTTTCCATTTCTCCTAGTTTGAACTAGGGGGGCTTCCTCTTTCAGCCTGTCTCTCTCCCCACGCAAACATAAGAAGAAAATCACCACCACAGAGTGCTTGAGTAAAACAGTTATTTTATCTCTGTTTTAGAGGCCAGGACAGAAGAAACTCTCAAGAGTTTGCAAGAAAATAAGTCATTGATATGCTTAGAATATCAATGTGTCTGTGTGTGAGATGAAAAATGAAGGAGGGCAACCCAGTTTTATGTGTGTCCCTCCTCTGTGCCTAATTCTGCCTTTTCTCATGGTGGCTTAATTGGAAGATACTGATGACTAGAAATGGTATTGGGGAGAGAAAGCCCTTTTTTCCCAGCAGAAAAAATAACATGGAAGCCAATAACTAATTTAAAGAGATTATTCTCAAATTCAGTTAGGTGCTGAGTGTCATTACAAGAATAAAGGTTGTAGGCAAAACAAGCACCACTTCCTAGTAGCCATCCTTTTCCCTGCTCACCAGCCACCACTGGAAATCAAAGAAATGACCTAGATGGGAAATCTACCTCACATTGATGTGTGCATGTAGTAAAAATGAAGTAACTCCCTTCCTGGTCATATCCTAAGGCTAAGCTTACGCAGTAGACTAAATCCAAACTAAATAAACTGCATTATGGTGTAGCACAATGGATAAACCAAGTCATAATAGAAGGAAAAGTATCTCTCAATGCACAGTTAAAATCAGGAGTCTGTCACCGCCTCCACCCCTTTTTTGTATGAACAAGATGTTACCACATCTTGTAGCTAGCTGGGTCATGCTGTAGTGTCAAACACTATTGCTGGTTCATGGGTGTCTTTCTGAAAAGAAGGAATAGATATTAATCATAAAACTGTGTTGCAAAAATCTAATCAAGTTAGATGCCGATTTCTCTTCCTTATATTAGGCATATCTTTCCCAGTCTCCTATACTAGTCCTGCGTTGCCTAAAGATCTGGGATGGAACAAGTTAGTAGTGCCTTTTTATCCTGTTTTAGGTGTTTGGTCAATTTCTGTTCAGCAGGAAGCCTGCAGAAAAAAAGCAAAGAAAATTGTTATAGTTAATAGGCCTGTATCAATAAATAATAGTTAATCAGATTATACTGATTTATTTCATTTGCTCTTTAAAAAGTAGAATTAAGCAACCACAGTATTTCAGAAACAATACAAAACATACTACAGGTAAACACTCTTTTCCAACAACACAAGAGACGACTCTACACATGGACATCACCAGATGGTCAATACCGAAACCAGATTGATTATATA